CATGGTTAAATTTTTCATGCAGAACAGAAAAAAAGTTTATTCATTTTCTTAAAGTACACCCCTTATCATAGAAAGAGGGTCGCCAATCTCAGCTGGAATGTTTTCGCGAAACATCTTTTTGTTTATTCTGATGTTGCATCAGCAGATTTGCATTCATACAGAACAAAGCAGAAATCAAATCTCGCGCCAATAAAATCGCAATGTCCAGAACGCTCGCGAAGCCTGTACGAAAATGTAAGGATAATTGGCAAATGTGGGCTAACTAAACCAAACTCAAATAAAAATGTAAGAAACATGTACGTACAATATTAAAGAATAATGAATGCCACAATGAAACAAATGATCAACAGTAAAGTGGTTTCCTGCACAAAAAAGTGTAAACTGAAATTGTAGGAGCACTTATCGGAACGATGAGGCGATGAGAAACTCAACAAAATTATTTTTATTATAACTACACTCGTTCAAGTTGGGTTTCCTCAAAGAAAATATTTATTTCCCCGAGGTGGGCGATCGTATGTCAGTAGTAACAATTAAACCATTCCAGGTAAAACGAATTGAGGCAGGCAAACGATATATAAACATAAAATAAATTCTTCGTTATGGCTTCATGTTTGACCGGTTCATAAACAGTACACCACATCAACAGAACAACACAATCTTCCATATTTACCTATATCGCTGCTCCCTCCTTGTACAAGCACTGTGTTGAAATGCACCTGCCCTTCTCTATGAATTAAGATATGATCCAATTTAGACACTACACGACACCTTTCTCTATCAATCTCAATAGCGTTTTTGAAACACTTCGCACACTGATGACACAGGGCCCACGCATGTTGCTCTGTGATTGGTGCATTGAAAGAGATTAAAATATTTTGAAGAGTTACACAATCATTAGAATCTAAACTACACTTTGGTGTCACTTTGACATCGGCTGCCATGACACAAGGTGCTCCGACTCACGTCTGCAGGCATTCCACTGTAACTGAATTGTGCTCAGAACGAGCACAGCGCGTGACCGGCCGTTGCGCATCTCCATTACCAACCTATGAGATAGAAATTCGCTACAGAACGAAATGAACCACCGATGGACAATTGTCACTGTCTCTGAAGCCCTGCTTAGACGACGAAATTCAACCCATCTCTAGTGACTTCAGTACTAGACCAATTCAATCGGTTCTGTTAAAGTCTCGCAAAAAGTGACAGTGGAACCACGGTTCCGGAGAATTTGACGTAAATACGTCTATACGGAAAGGAAGTTTATATATTGGCTTTATTCTAAATATTTCCTTTATACATGCTTTACAATTGAGATAAGTTTGATTAAGACTGATTATTCAACTTGAATTAGTTACGCTTAAAATGGGTCTGTGGTAGCTGAATGTAATGTAATGTTTTATAGGTAACAACACTGCTAAGTAAACAGATTACGCTACCATAAATCCTACCATCGCACAACTGCTATCGAAACTGTACCAAAATGTTTATGTGTAGAGAAGAAATATCCACTGTCGACTGACTTCATTTTTACAATATCATTTTCCAGCCTCCACAGTTCGTAAATTATACCCGATTTCCAAGTTCTTCAGTCGTTCTTGTAAACTAATGTATAATAACGTATTTACTAAACGATTATGAAATATAATTAATTGAAATCATATTTCATTGGACGTTTCTGTTCTTTGTCACAGTGGCCTCTAGGTCATGGGATCTTGGGTTCGAATCCCGCTCAAGGTACGGATGTTTGTCCGCGACTTTCTGTGTCGTGCTGTCCTTGCGATGGGCTGATCCCTCGACCAAGGAGTCCTACTAATGTCGAAACAGATCAAGAAACCTCCCCACACGTGGGTCGGCCAAGGTCCTTCAAGGACTGCGGAGCCACTGTCTAGGTCACTGACGAGTTAGTTCATTTGCAAGGCGAAGGAAAGGCAAGACATTACAGGAAGAGCGAGAACGAATTTGATTCCATCCAAAAAACTTTGTCGAATGAACGAAAACCTAGGAAATGTTTTGCGCTGCTGACTTCGAAACAAACGAGTTTGTATTATCTTCAGCAGCCGTGGAAAGATTGCGACGACCTCAGAAGACGAATATCAGAATTCACGACGGATGTCTTCTGGGTTGGTGCGCCGTGCCAACGTTTCAGAGTTTCCTGCTGCCTCCATCATCAGGGCGATTAGTAAGCCTCAGGTTCCTGGGTTCCTGGACGCCTTAACGCCGACCGAGAACTTAACCTCCCATTTAGACGAAACTGTTCGCTTTAAGACAGGCGCAGATGCTGAAACGTGTCTGGTGAAGGTCAGTCACGTGGAACTTCGACCTGAAGTTTGAGTGTTTTGAAGAACTTGGAAGGCAGGCAAGGACTTGCAACATTGCGAATCATACGCTGGTGCTTATGGTCTGTGGGCTGCATAGAAAGTGGAGATTGCTGTGCATATTTTGTGGAGCAAATAATGCTAAGAAACTTTCCCCTGACTGAATGCCGTGATTCTGATCTTAAATAGCACACGCATATTTAATTTTAAAAGCAGAGAAGTTCCTCTGCACAATCAGGGTGATAATTATGGTTATCAGTGGCTGGAATGAAGCTGACTAAATTCTGCGATGTTGTACCACGCACTACGGTAGAAAGTGACTGATGTTTCAGACATGCTCGATCCATCCATCCAACCATAATGGCATCGCCATGATGATTGAGGTAGTAAGCACCTCTGAAACGTCCGTTAATTTTTACCAGACGACATGGTGCAATATCCCAGAAGACAGTCATCTTCAGACTTTTAAAATTAACTGTTTTAGGGAGGGGGTGGTTAATTTTGATGGAAGGTAACGTTATTACCGACTGAACACTATGGAAATGGCTGGAATCATGTTCCAAAGCAATTTTTACCAACAGATCGGTCTCACAGTAGTTTCATGATATGCCGACAGTTGGCAGCACAATACACATTGGCGTCATAGGCCGTAACCGTTGCCAACTGATAACATTTACTTACCGATGTGCATGTTAGTTTTGTCTGTGCCCCTAAAATAAAAGTAAAGCTGTCCCGTTAAACGCCATCTTGGCCTTTGGAGAAGGTATAACTCCTACTCACTTTTAACCTCGGCAATAGATACAGTTGAGTGGTTAGGGTCACGCCCCGGCCACGCTTTACGCCGGGAAAGGGCCCCGGTACCCATGACAAAAGGCTGGGTGGGCCCCAAAGCAGAAGGTACAAGAAAAATTCTCTAACCCGTCATCCAGTCCTTAGTCTGTCACTATACTAACTGAACTAACCCGGCTACTTTGAGAATTTGGACGCCAACGACACGTGGTTGTCCGAAGTGGTCCTCCGATGATACCAACATGGATTATTATGTAGAATACAACACAACCAACTTTTTTCAGCAAACATTTATTCCCGCGATGCCAATTTTTGGCAGTACTGTTCTAATATTTATGTATGGATATGATGACTTACATAAAGTCTTGTTATGTAACACAAAGTACGTACTTCACAGTTCGTAATCTCAGTTTATTTATAGTGTTACAAACTTGTCTGCTTTTAAGAGAAATGTGAACTTGTATTAATTTTAGTTATAGCGGTAGGTAATGTAGTTTCCCTTGCAAATCTACATCTGTGCTAATGTGTTTATATTTAACAGACTTCATGAGAACATGTAAAATGGCATGTCCTAGTACTGAAAGAATATAATGTAACCACTGCTAATTTTGACATGCCCTAGTACCGAAAGAATATAATGTAACCGCTGCTACTTTTGACATGGACCCTAAAGCTCGGTGGTAAAATTCGGAATGCTTTGGTCTGGCAACACACTACAATCTAAATCACAGTAGTGATTGATTGCTCTTATGTGCTACTAAAATTGGTAGAATATTAATAAATTAAAACGCCTTTGTATTGTGGTGTGATTGTTGCAGGAATTTAAAATTGCATTTTTGCATGACCTGACACAAGACCAGTGTTCTGCAACCCTCTTTCACCAGCAGCACACCCTGATTTGTCAAAGACATCACAAATTGTCACGTTACAAGGGGTACTATACATGGCCATAAGCATATATCAATATACAAATACTTGCCATGAAAGAACGTAGGCATACGAAAACAAATCATTCCACACGTTGCATAAAGCTACTGATGCTGAAAGTACTGAATACCTGAGATTGCCATTTCCAAAGGAAAAGGTGACATTGGATTAAAAACATGTCCAAACTTATTAACTGTTTAACTTCTGACGATTTTGATAGAATCCTCCCATGCACGTGCCTCTCTTACCACAAACAAAGAGTTGGCAAACATTTTCCTCATGCTGCTATAAGATGGAATAATACAGATCATTTTAATGCCTTTGAATTGTATTTTCTTATAATCTGAAACACTGATTGTAATGCCCACCATCAGTTGGATTGCAGAGTGAGATACTGGTTATAACAAGACTGCACACGTGATGAACAGTAATCTTTCACTGTAAACCATTTGCCCAGAAGTGAATATAAGGCATTTATATTTCATTTCCTCAGTCCAGCATATGACCAAAAGTCATATTTTAGGCCTTGGGCTAAAGCAATGGTTTTCAAATTTAATTTGTGGGAAAGTTCTATGCAGGAAAAAGTTTGGTATATAGATCTAATATGAGATCTGAGGTTTACAACACTGGTTCTCAAGCATGCATCCTTCCAAGTGTTCATTAGTAAGTCGCATACCTGAATGCATGAAGTGATTTGTGTAACACAACATTTCTTTAAAACACTATTTTATTACTGATCTTAATTTTTTCAAACAAAAATTTCATTCTAAACAGATAAAATTCTAGAACCTATTGCAAATGTACATATATACATACAATAAAAATCTATAATTTATATTATACAATAAAGTTATCATAAGTGATCTCTGGTATTATTGCATAACTTCAATACCAATATGACTTTAAATCCTGAATTTGAAATGAGGTGGTCCAGACATGGTAGCTGCCAAACAAATGTACATGTTCTTCAATGGAATTAACATTAACAGATCTTTTTATGCAGTGAACAAAATGGACAAACAATGTTGATATGTTACTGATTTTATAGTGTTACATGTACTCATATTTTGAATTTTGGTACCTAAGAGAAGTTTCCAAATTCCACAACACAAAATTAAATTTTACAAACATTTATTTATATGCGAGGAACTGAAAATATGGCAGACTCTCAGCACTGTAACCAAAATTCCAAATAAACTATGAAAAAATATGGTATTACTTAATCTGTACATTTAGTATGTTAACTTCTGAATGTTTTCAATGTGCAGTTCCTGTGGAATAGTTCACAAATCCTTGACTGTTTTTGCTTCTCGGCTCTACAACCCTCGACTATCATGATGAAATATCAGATCTTGCTCTATAACCTTATTAACAATAATATGCAATTTCTGAAATAAAATAGTTTATACTCGATTTGCTCAGTCACACACAATTTTTATAATATAAATAAATTAGGACATGAAAGGTGAAAAAGTAATAATGAACATTTCCATCCAATGTCAACATTTGCATTTTACAGAGGTTTCTACCTCCATGATGTTTAGTTTAAACATGGGAAGAACTTTACCTTTTATTTATCTGATACATTAACTATACTGAAATTTCACATAATTTAAAACTGGAAGACAAGTAGTAAGTCTGTGACAAGTAAAAAATTATACAAAGGGAAAATGTTGTTTCTGGCTGAGTTTGACATTTTCCTTTATCATTATTTGGGACATACTTAATTTAGACAGTTTACTGTGGAACCATTATTATATATGACTGTTATAAAGGGCCATTAATACAAGAAAAATTAGGATACAGTAAATACTGTTTATTAATTATACAATGGATATATGTAGCAAATGCTGCAAGTACTGGAAAACAATATGTACATATATTTGTAACTCAGTATCTCTTGTATGTTGTCTCTGACAATGTTTAACTAGAGTGGTTGAAGTACAAGTAAACTTGACTCTGAATGGT